AGAAGACCCAAGCCAACTCACTCTAAACGAGTATGAACAAGGGCAGAAGAAGACCCAAGCCAACTCACTCTAGCGAGTATGAACAAGGAGCAACTACCAATTTGACCAGCAAGGGAACTGTAAACTCTCCTCCTGGTAAAAAAAAACATTCTACATAGTTTCCTCCAATATGGTCTAAGTGTTTGTTAAATCCAGGCTCCAAATCAATCTGCACTACACTCTGTGGCATCAACCTGAGCTACAGTACTCATAAATAGAATAGTTTTTTTAAAAAAGAAAAAGTAAATGAAATGGTGGCAATTTTAGTTTAAAGTGCAATCCTGCACATTATATGACAGTGAATAAGAGAAGGGGGGTTTTTCCACAGTAAAACAACGCAGGATTGCTGCCTAAGATTAATTAACCCAAAATTGTGATTTCCTACATGAACATAAAATACCTGCCAGCTGAGGCAGCGCTCTGTGCATCTAATAGAGCCGGTTGCCAATTGAGGTTTGTCAGTTTTTACGGTGCCTCTCCGTTGCATGCACTTTCTCTTTCTCTTCACTGGGCTCAGATTTGGGGATATTTTCATCTCAGTCCCCTGTACCTCATATAATGTCTTTGAATACATGTTTTATCAAAACGTTTTCCCTCCAGGTTTTTTGTTTAAACGAAAGGTAACCCGGCTCACGCTAAGGATAACAATATGTACACAGCCGATAAGTTTAGGAAGGTTTTGTTTTAATTGCCGAACCAGTTGTTTCAAAGCATTGTAAACAGCTCCGCATTGACGCAGCGTTTCAGCGAAATGAGTCTGGCACAGAGGCAGAGGAGACCCGGAGGCGCCTTAGGGCAGGGCCGTTCGGGAGGCACAGATTCACAAAGTTGGCAAAACAGATACGGGTACAAGCCGCCTCTAATCACCCCCATGTCTAAGTCTCGTTCCCCTTCTTCCCGAAGGAAAGTTCGAGTCCTCGTGGAGGCATGAGGAGATGCTTTCCTAATCTAAAATGTGGAGCCTCACTTTTCCGGACCAGGTGAAGGTGGTCCGAGGACGGTGGCAAAGTCTAGGTTGGCTACAGAACTGGTGTTTTGCCTTCTGTCTTTCCTCCCCAGCCCCAGGACCTGCGTTTTTGGCAGCGCTCTGTGCATCTAATAGAGCCGGCATCTTACAGCAGAGGACAGAGCACAGAGTGCTGTCCTCTGAAGATGCCGGCTACAGAGACTGGCGAAACATTAGGAAGAACAACTTTCAGAAAACGGCCAAAGAGCCCGAAAAACCTACAACAACAACCACCTGCGTTTTTGTTTGTTTGTTTGCCTCTGAGAGCAGTTTCTTTCACCGGATGCTAGTTTTTCTCTCATGCCCAGTTTTGACTGAACGAGGCGGTTTTTGGTTCCCCTTGTTTGGAACCAGGTCGCGGGCAAAAGGCGAGGGCTCTCTCGCTCTCTCGCTCTCTCCACTCCCCCCCAATCCCCCTTGATCTCGAAGTCCCGCTGCAGCCCAGAGGAGCTGGCGACCGGGCAGCTCCCTCCGTTCCTAAGGTCTGCGGTGGAAAGTCTGCTGGGATGGGACCCCGGCATGGCGACCAGGGCTGGAATGGCGCTCGCGTTCACTGGAGATCACTGGGCTATTTAGGCGATCCAGAAGACCGCCCGAACGATTCTTGAACTGGGGTGGGCGGTGGGGGATCCGATCTGACTTGAAAGATCCGTCAAATACCTTTCCAACCCCCCCCACCGCCCGCCCGCGCGCAACCAAATTTATCCTTCCCGCGGCCGGCGGTAGTTCTTGCCCGCCTTGGCGATCTACCGCCGCCCCCCCCACCTGTCCACTCGACCGTCCCCGCCTTCTTCCTGAGACCTTCAGAAGGACAGGGGAAAAGACCGGCCGCCGGGCGAGGGAGACCGACCCCGCTTTCGGGGCCGCCTCGGACTCACCTTTGACGAGGACCTGCGTGCCCTGCTCGGCGAAGTAGGCTTGGTATCACGGCGCTGCCGCCTCACGGGAGGCCCTTGCAAAATCTTCTCAGTGGCGGCCGTCCCTTCGGAGGGGGCCCCGCTCCGCCTCTTCCCAGACCCGCGATCCCACGACGGAAAGGGCCGGCCTTGCAGTCGGTTCCGTCCAAAGCGGGCCAGGAATCGGCCGCTCCAGGGTAGCCAGAGCCACTTCCCGCTGCCCGGTTGCCCGGGAGGACTGCGCCAAGCCAAGCACTGGGGGCTTCTCGCCGAAGGGGCGGGGTAGCCCGCCAAACGCCCCTTTTGCCTCATACAATGCTTTTCTCCCCCGGGTTGCCCCCTGCTCCCGGATCCCGGCCTCTCCAAGGCCCCCGCCGCCCCCGCG